CCATAAATGAACGGTTTTTGTAAAGTTAGGGACCACAAATGGATTTAAATATTTCGAGTGACCAAACATGAATGCTTTTTGTAATCTCAGTGACCAACCATGCAATTAACCCTTAGGAGTTGAGATACAAAGTGAAGAAAAGTTGTTTTACTCACTACTACTACTAAAAGTGAATGCCTAGATTAAAGTAAGGAATTCTTTTGTTATTTTTGCATATGTCATCAATTAGTTAACTTAAAGCCAACAAATGGGAACATGACACCGAATTATCAACGAGTGCAATTTAGAGTTTATAAACAGGAGTAAGAGATTTCAGTTGTAGGTACATTTGATCCACAAAATCAAAATTATTTTTAGAGTAAAAGAGAGTTTGCCGAAACCATGTTACGAGTCATGACACAGTCGACACGTGCATGTAAAATTTATTGACTGAACTAAATCTTCAAATAATATAATAGTAAAATGAAAAAAATGTGTTTTCCATTTTAAATTTTATGCAATGAGAGTGAATGTAAACAACTTATTTTTTTGTCTTCACAATCATTTTTTTTCATGTGTAATAACGATACTAAGATTTGAACCAGTGCCATTTTTTAAATAAAGACAAGGGTCATAACCAATCACACTACACGATACGTTTTATCTCTGTAAATAAAAAGAATACACGAAGCTCAAATCAGAAGATCCCAGGACTTCCCAACTATAAGCTAGCCACTAAATCTACACTAAATATACTTCAATTTTCATATTTTGATTATTCGAATTGCAGTTAATACTAAATTTAAATTCTATGTATGTTATAAATAGGGGCTAATACCACTTGGAAACCCGAACTATTAACTTTGTGTCATTTGTGTCCTAAAGTATTCGATACGACATTTGTGTCCCAACCTATTATAGTTTTGTGTCATTTATGTCCTGACGATTTTGTTGACCGTTATATATAACGGTTGACCAAACGAAAGTCAACATTAACATTGACTTTTGTTGACGTGGCGGCCACGTCAATGACACCTCATATTTTTAATTAAAAATTAAATTAAAAATTAAAAAAATAATATATTGTTATAAAAATTAAAAAAATGTAAACTTAATTAATTAATATTGTTTCTAAAAATAGCCAGCACTGAGAAATCCTCGCCGAGATTTCACCCAGACCACCGGAATTACGCCCAGTCGCCGCACTCCCTCCTTCTTTCTCCGAACAGCAGCAACAGCACTAGCAACAGCAGCAGCAGCTCTTCCCGCCGACGCCTCCTCCGCCGCAACAGCAGATGCCGTCTCCCCGGCCAAATCCAATAGCCAGATCCGAATCGGCTAACCCTTACCCGACCACCACCACCACCACCAGGTGAAATCCCATTCCCACACCATCCCGCCGATCAAATCGATCCCCAAGAGGAACCAGCCCTCCGGGTTCAAGCTCTACGAGCGGCGGAACTCCTTGAAGAATCTCAAGATCAACCCGCTCAACCCGTTCCTCGCCCCTCCCGGACCCGGATCCGGATTCTCGCCCCGGATGAAGAAGAAGCCGATTGGCAGTGACGGGGGTTCCTGTCTGCGGTGGCCGGTGGCAACGAAGCCGATTCCGAACCAGGTAAGAGCTCGAACCCTTCCAAATCGCCGACGAGAAGGCGGAGGAAAGCTCCTATTCCTTCAATCGGCTCGGCTACGCAGGGAGAAACCGACGAACAATTATCGCAAGAGTAGGAAAGCCGAGCTCGTTCCGAATCGTCACTGCAAATCTAATTTCAATGTCGCCGTTTTTGGGTTTCATTTGGTCTGGGTTTCTGGTTTTCGTTGGATTTGGTTTCACTGGATCTGCAGAGGCGACGAGACTTCAACGGGAGCTGGGGAACCCGCCCTCCTCTGCTCCGCTGCTAAAGACGAGCTGGGGATGCACGAATCTGGAGGAGTTCTTTCATTTGGAGCTGGGGATGCACGAATATGGACGGAGCTGGGGATGCACGATTTGGACGGCGGTAGAAGTGAGGAGGAGAGGATATGAAGAAGTAGCGGTGACTAGAGGAGACGAAAATTTATTTATTTTGTATTTTTATAATTAATTTTTTGTTTTTTGTAATTTTCTTTTTGTTAGTTTATTTATTTTTATGATAAAATAAATAATAAAATTCCACGTTGAATGCCACATCAGCGCTGACTAGATTTTCAGTTAAAAACTAACGGTCAACGGTAGTCAACCATAACGGAAAAATAGTTTGGGACACAATTGTCATATCGAATACTTTAGGACACAAATGACACAAAGTTAATAGTTCGGGTTTCCTATTGGTATTAGCCCTATAAATAGTGTAATCTTCATTTCAAATTTCCTGCCTCCAAAGCAATTCTCGAAAGGGTATTTAGGGAAACTGTTTTCTGATGGTTGTTGAACACGGAAGTAAAATCCTCAAGAATTGTTAACGGGCCCAAATTACTGTCGCGACCCGCTACCGACACACCCATCACCGCCTCACCATAGGAATCTTCTGACCTTCCATCTCGGCAACCACAAGCCTACTCCCCTCCAGTTGACGAAAGCTCAACACAAAACACTGAAATTTGCGGTGTTCTTCTTCAATCGAAGTCCATAAAGAACTCTTGCGTCAATAGTCATGAAGCAACCGCACCGGTTGTGGTCACCATAGTTCTATCTCTTCGATTATTGAAATTGAAGGGGTTAGAGGAATATTGCCAGCCCGTAGAGAGGAGAATCTTGAATGCATAAGTTAATCATTAACATTTGGTTGGTTTTTCTTAAATTACAAAGCTAATTTGTGGTTTGTCGGCTTTGTTCATCACCAGTTTCAGTTAATGAAAGTTCATAGGAAGATCAGAAGCCACATCTCATTAACAAATTGGGGGTTAAAGGGGTTCTGATTGGGAAGAACTATCTTTGGAATGCCCTGAGACTAGATTGAGACTTATTTTCCCCTTTGAATCCTAGCAAGTCTAACATCTACATTGACTGCATTTATTATTGAAATTGGATAAGACTAATGGGATTTCTATTGATACGAATTTGAGTTATGTATATGTTCAACCCTAATCAATTATATTCTCTTACAAATTCAGCCGAACCTCTATTTAATTGGATTCTAATAAACAACCTTCTTTAGTTACGTACTTACTGTACCAATGGTGCTCAAAATGTTGTGTTAACCTTGGGTGGATGTTTAGGGTGTTATGTCTACTTGGTTGTTCAAAGGCCACTAGGTGTTCTTTTTTCCTTGTGCCATAAATGTAGATTGCACACCTATTATGAAAAGATTAATGATGTGAAAATTTGGGCCTTAAAATGAAGCAATCCATTTACTATGCCATCTTATTACATCAATCCTTTTAATTTTAATTCATACTAGAGCACATCATATATGGGGTTACCTGATTTGTGCAGGTTACTAGTAACTAAATTTCGAAACTTGATTTGAAGAACTTTTTGGTTCAGCTATTTCTCGAAGTTATTTGATCATTACTTCTTACAAATATACTTGACTGACGATATTGTCTTCTATGTCCATGTTTTGCAGATCATGGACTTTCAACCAAAGAATCCCTTATTGTGAAGGCATGCTCACATTTTGGTTAGAGAGGGGATCAGGTAAATTGCATTTGTTTCATGTTTCAATTCTTTGGTGTTATGTATACTTGGCTGTTCGAAAGCTACTAGGTAAATTGTATTAAGGTTGAACCATTAATAATATTGATCTAGATTCATTTGATGGACGGGGTTTCTCAATTCCAAGACTTGTGGTGTCAGTATACTTGCTTATTGCTCTACTTTGTTGCTTTCTTTATTATTAATTTTAATTGTGATAGAAATAAGATCATATCGAAACTTAATCAGGTAGGGAAAAAGCCCTTCTACCTGGATGTCTGGAAAAAAAGGCCCAACGAAGCTGTAGATGTTCATGTTAATTCACAGGTAGGCAAGACCAAAGATTTATTGGGAGAGGACATGGTCCTGCTTTCTTTGCAGTATTACGTACTATTGTGATACGTGAAAGTTGTTGGTGGATTAAAAGTCATATTTTTAGTATTGGACCTAACTTTCACCAGCCCACCAGGAGTGGGAGGATTAATAAATTCTTCAACTTAGACCAGTGTAGTTAATTCATAAAATAATTTAATTATATTTATTATATCTAGCTTCTATTTTATATATTACCTTTGTCGATCTCCCAAATTATCAATGAATTTTTTTGCCAAATATTTTCCTTTAAAATATATATTATTTTGAAGAGATCCATCATGATTTGCATATCAAACTAAAATACTCGACTTGTCATCGTATGATTTTGAGTTGAGAGATTGAGAATTGTTGGACGAGACAACGAATAAAATAAAGCTTCAAAAACAGAATGTGAATAAAAAAACAGGGAATCGGAGAAGAATAGCTGGTTGACAGACATAACTCATTATCAGCATAGTTAGTAAAATATGGTACGGGAAAGTTACGTATAAAATACATACGGGTATTATACTTCATTTACAATGTAAAGTTACGTTTAATAGTACGTTAATAGTCATAAAAATATAAACTTAACTATTTTAAAAATAAATAAATATGTAAATAATAGTAAAGTAAACAATTTAATTAATAAAATACGGATAATAAACGTGTTATACGGATTTTATACATGTTTAGTACAGGAGCCATCAAATAAACGAATAAAAATGAAATGACTTGACAATAATACAGATACGAAAGTTTTAAACGCATAAAATACGGTAAAAAACCTAAAATTGGTGGACTTAAAAACAATCAGGTGTGGGCTACAGCCTACAAGCTTACAGCTAAGATTTCTTTTGGGTGAGCCTACGTATAAGTTCAGCCCAATCAAAAAGTAACAAAGGAAGAATTGGAAAGAGGGTCGCGCTTCACAACTTTTCCAGCGGCGGCGCTGTTATTCCACCGCCCGCAATGGTCGCAATTAGATATGATGATAAATAGCCGGCCCGTGGCTGTCTTTAAATGTTTGAGGACGGGGAGAAGGTTAATGGCGACTTCACTCGCTCGCCCAGACCCTCCTCCTCCTTCATTCGCTTCTCTGCCCAGTGACCGTAAGTCACTTAGCTTTGAACTGGCCGATAATCTCCTTAGTCGTGGCCTTTATTCCTCGGCTCAGCAGGTCATTCAGAGAATCATCAGTTCCTCTACTACTCTCCCTGACGCGATTTCTGCAGCTGATTTCGCGGCTGGACGTGGCGTGGAGCTCAGTCTGCAGAGCTACTATGTGCTTATTAGGAGAGTGATGGGCTTCGGTGAGTTTCAATTCGCTCGGGCAATTTACTTTGACGGAATAATTGGTAGAGGGCTTGAGCCGGATTCGAACATTGTCAACTCCATGATCATTTGTATGGCGAAACTGGGAGATTTGGAGGGAGCAATGAGTCTCTTTGACCGGCTTTGGGACAAGGGTTGGATGCCCTGTGAATCCGCCAGTGATACAGTTCTCAGAGGGTTATATGAGCGGAAGCTGTTTCTGGAGGCGTTTGTGTACTTCACTAGGATTGTGAACTTGAAGGTGCATTTGGGTTTCTGGTGTTTTAATATCTTGATCGATGGTTTGTGTAAACAGGGCCATCTCGTTGAAGCACTGAAGGTGTTCGATATAATGCGTGATAGGACTGGCTTGCCACCGACTGTTCATTTGTTGAAGTCACTATTTTTTGGGTTTTGCAAGAAGGGAATTTGTTTGGATGCGGAGAGAGTTTGTCGACAAATGGAAGAACGTGGTTTCTTTGTGGATGTGGTGATGTATTCTTCCTAATAAACGCTTACTGCAATCATAATGATCTGAAAATGGCAATAATGGGTTTTTTCCGGATGCTGAAGATGGGTTGTGAACCAGATAAGTACACTTACACCATGTTGATACAAGGATTTCTGAAGATAGGGTTTCCTGATAAAGGAATGATTATGTATAACCAGATGTTAGACTTACGTATGCAGCCTGATTTAGTTACTGCACATATTATTATTAGTGGTTACTGTCAGAATGGAAAGGTGGATTCTGCTATGGAGTTTTTGAATAGCATGGTCCGCTCTAGTTTGGTTCCAAGTGTCCACAGCTATACTGCATTGCTTTCTGCACTTTGCAAGCAGAACAGGTTTTCCGGTGTTAAGGCATTGTTCAGAAACATGTTAGACATTGGAGTTATCCCTGACCATGTCACGTTCCTAATTCTCATGAAAAATATCCCGAAGGGGCAGGAACTTGAACTTGCTTTCTTCATGTTAAGGGCAATTGCCAGAAATGGATGTAGGTTAGATCCTTGCTTGCTCTCTGTTTCTCCTGAGATATACTCAACTATGGATTTACAGCATGAAATTGAAATTCTGCTGTTGGAAATTGTGAGAACAAATTGGATGCTGGCAAATGTGTCGTTTGGTATCTACATTAGTGCCTTGTGCGAGTGCGGAAAATTTGAAGCTGCTTTCGCTTCTTTTGAAACGCTCAGGGGACTTGGCTGCTGTCCTTTGCCTTTCACCTTCAATTCATTGATCAAAGAACTTTGCAAGCATAGTTTACACCAGGAGGTTAAGTGTTTGCTTGCCATTATGCAAAAACACGAAATCATTCCAGACTTCGCAACTTTCTTGATACTGGTGAGAGAGTTCTGCACACAAAATGACTTGACATCTGCATTTGTTATTTTAGATGAGATGGAGCAGTGTGGAATCAAGCCTACAGTAGCTATTTATGATTGCATCATTGGTTGTTTAACTGAAGGAAACAAAATGTCCGAAGCTGAAACTTGGTTCATGAAGATGATTGTGATAACCCAAGACTTGGTTTTCCATTAATCAGTAAACATATTTATAATACAAGACAGCAGAGTGCTGCGACAGAGAAGGAGTGAAATAAGGAACTGCCCATAGTGGGCAACGTTCCATTAACAACAACTAACAGAAACAGAGTAACTTCAGGAACAAGTAGTTCCTCTTCACGCCCCCGCAAGTGAAGGCTCGGAGAGTCGGAACTTGGAATAGAACTTGTTGAAGGACTGGCGAGGCAAAGGCTTGGTGAGCACATCCGCTAGTTGATCAGGTGCCGGTAAGTAGTGAACATGTAGGTGTCCTTTACTGACCTGGTCACGAATAAAATGGAACTCGATCTCCATGTGCTTGGACCGATTGTGGAACACCAGATTGTGGGCAAGGAATGTTGCACCAAGATTGTCACACCACAGAGTCGGTGCAGTGGGAATTGATTGACCAAGCTCATGTAGTAGGGATCGTAACCAAAGTACCTCAGAGGCAAGGGTGGCAAGAGCACGATATTCACACTCCGTGGAAGAGCGAGCTACGGCCTTCTGTTTGCGAGTTGACCAGGACACAAGGTTGGCACCACAGAAAACCGCGAACCCAGTGATTGATTTGCGATCTTTGGGACAGGAAGCCCAAGACGCATCTGAATAACCATGCACATGAAGAGAATCTGTCTTGGAGAGGACAAGGCCACGATCCAGAGTGCCCCGCAGATAACGTAGAATACGTTTCACAGCAGCCCAATGATTATCCGTCGGAGAGTGTTGAAATTGCGAGACGTGGTTGACCGCAAAGGAGATGTCTGACCGAGTGAAGCTGAGATACTGTAATCCGCCAACAATGCTGCGGTATAGAGCAGGATCAGCAAACGACGGAGAGGAATCCATGACAGAGTGCTGAATGATGTCAATAGTACATGGGGTAGAAATGACATTGGCATTTGACATTTGAGCACGGGAGAGTAGATCATGAATAAACTTTCGCTGGCGGAAAACAAGGCCTGTGGAGGATCGATCAACTTCAATGCCAAGGAAGTATGAGAGGGGCCCCATCTCACGGAGGGCAAAGTTATCACGTAGGAAAGCAAACAGCCGCTGAATGATAGAAGCATCATTACCCGTGATAACGATGTCATCGACATAGACAAGCATATACAAACGAGTAGCGCCGATTTTGTAGATGAATAGGGATGGATCGGTGCGTGAGACTGAGAAGCCAAACCGAGATAGAGCTGTAGCAAGACACTGAAACCATGTGCGAGGGGCCTGTCGGAGTCCATAGATGGACTTGCGAAGACGGCAGACATGATCTGGTTTATCCGGATCAACAAAACCTGGCGGCTGCTGCATATACACAGTTTCCTGCAGCTCACCATGTAAGAAGGCGTTAGCAATGTCAATCTGATGAAGCGGCCAACTCTGAGTAACAGCGAGACCGAGGATAAGCCGGAGTGTCGCTGGTTTCAGGACCGGGCTATATGTCTGTTGAAAATCCAGACCCGGTATTTGTTCGAAGCCGCGAGCTACAAGACGAGCACGGCGGCGATCCAGCTGCCCATTGGGACGAAGTTTGGTGCGATATACCCATTTGTTGGAGAGAAGATTGCAATTCGGCGGCCGGGGAACCAAGTCCCACGTGTGATTGCGAAGCTGGGCAGTAACTTCATCGGCCATGGCTGAGCGCCATTGTGGGTGCTTGAGGGGCTGAGTCACAGATGTGGGGGTATCATCAATATGCAGGTGAGAGAGGAGAGTCCGAGGTTTGAGATGGCCAGTTTTGATTCTGGTGACCATGGGATGGGATGAATCTGTGGGATTGATGACAGGGATGGGGCGGGGGGAAGTAGTGAAAGGTGGGCGTTTTGGTGGTGGGCGACGAGGGGGAAGAGGGGTGGGTTTGGAAACGGTTGCAGGAGAGGTGGGTGAGGGGACGGTTGGAGGAGGAACAACGGCGGGGACGGTGGTACGACGGCGCTAATATTGGAGGAGCGGTCGAGATGAAACGGAAGAGGGAGGGTCATCGGGGATTGGTTTCGGCAAGGGCAGGGAGGAAGCAGGTGGAGGGGAATCGCCCGATGGACCGGGTTGGTTTGGATTAGGGGGTGGATTGGGTATGTGATGGGTCTGAGAGTCAATGGGCTCCAGTGGGTTGGGGTCAGTGTTTATGGGCGGAGGGGCTTGTGGGCCGAGTGATGAAGAAGTGGGAAATGGGCTGGGAGGAGAGGGAAAGGGTGAGGGGGCCGGAGACAGCTCATTGTGGGCGCGGGAGAGGGAAGTGGGCTGGGCTGGTACGGTACTGATGGTGGAGGGCAGGGCAGGCAGCGGAATTGGATTGATCAAGGGAGAAGAAGAAGATGATGGGGTGACAGGGTGTATGGAGGCAAAGGGAAAATTATTCTCGTCGAACAAGACATGACGACTGATATAGATTCGTCCGGTGGGAATGTGGAGGCAACGGTAACCCTTGTGAAGTTTGTTGTACCCTAGGAAAACACAGGGAACAGAACGAGGAGATAATTTGTTTGCGGCGAGTGGGCGAAGCCAAGGATAGCAGAGACACCCAAACACACGGAGATTAGAGAGATCGGGAGAACGATGAAAAAGAAATTGAAAGGGTGTGTCATGATTTAGAAGAGGGGTAGGAGTGCGGTTTATGAGATAACATGCGGTGTCAAAGGCTAGAGGCCAGTATTTAAGAGGGACACTGGCATGATGAAGAAGGGCTAGACCATTGTTGACAATATGGCGATGTTTGCGTTCAGCACAACCGTTTTGCTCAGGAGTATAAGGACAAGAGGAGCGATGAGCAATTCCATTTTGAGAGAGGTAAGCGGACAAAGCTTGGTATTCACCACCCCAATCAGATTGAAATGACTTGATGGGAAGACCAAAATATTTTTCGACCAATTGACGAAATTGAATGAAAACTTGGAGCAATTGGGACTTATAACGAACAAAATAAATCCATGAGAATTTGCTGTAATGATCATAGAAAATGATGTAATAAGATTGATCATCATATGACAAAACAGGGGCAGGACCCCATACATCACTACAAACTAACTCAAGAGGAGCATTGGCACGAAAAGTTGACGAAGGAAAAGGAATTTTGTGAATTTTGCTAACGGCACAACCGTGACACAGAGAAGGAGGTGAAGCGGTAAACTTTATTTCATGTTGACAGAGGAGATGTTTAACTGCTCGTTCATGAGCGTGACCAAGACGACGATGCCAAGTGTCGAAGGAGGCAGCACAGGCAACAGGAGAGAGACTGCGGGAAATAGTGAGAGGTAGGGAATATAGACCGTCAACCGCATAGCCTCGATGGAGTTCACGCCCCGTGCGTCGATCCTTGATGAGAAACAAAGAATCAAAAAATTCAATGGAAATGGGATTAGAACGAGTAAGGGAGCTGATCGAGAGAAGATTATATGGGGCATGACGCACATGGAGAATATTATCCAATGAAATGGAAGTATCAGACAAAGAAGAAGTGGAAGATCCAAGACGAGAGATGGGAAGAGAGTTACCATTGCCAAAAGTTACGCAATCGGTCCCATTATATTCCGAATGATGGGCAAGATTGTCTAAGTCCGACGTGAGATGATGGTTGGTGCCCGAATCAAGTAACCATTGAGACGGGTTGAAGGATTGGGCTGGTGAGGAGGAAAACAATGTGTGTGGGCCAGCAGAGGGATGGGCCGAAGTGTGAGCAGGGGCTGAAGTGGTGTAGGGAACGGATTGGGCCGAGGAGGAGGGCATGGCTGGGCTGGGGCAATGGGGCTTTATGTGCCCACGGCCCCCACAGTTGTGACAAACGACCCCGTTGGGCCGAGGCCCAAGCAATCCACCGGCTGGAGGCGGCCTGTAAAAAGGAGCAGGTGTGTTAGTGAAAAATCGACCGCGGGAGGATCCACGACCTCGGCCACGGCCGCGATAGCCACCGGCGTTGGAGAAGAAGGGTGTCGGCGCCGGGGACTCCGATCGGGAGGCATATCGCTGGATCTGAAGCTCCTCGCTCAGGAGAAGCGAATGCAGATTCTCAAAACTGATAGGTTCCATGCGCGCCTCGATATGCCGAACAAACGGCCGATATTCCTCACCCAGGCCGTCGAGAATCCAGCCAGTGAGATCGGTGGTGGGAACACGGGAGCCAAGAGCAGCCAATTGATCAGCTTTAGCCTTCGCATCCTGGAGATAATCGTGAATTGAAGCTTCACCACGGCGAATATGCTGAAGAGCTTTGCTGAGATGCCGAATTTGGATATGAGAGCCGGACGCGTAGATAGTAGCCAACGCCGTCCAAGCATCAAAGGCAGTAGCTTTGTTGATGACGTTGGGTAAGACTGCTTCAGAGAGAGAGCAATTGATCCAGGTGAGTACGTACTGATCACGCACATACCACGACCAATAAGCAGGATTGGATTGATCATTGATTGATTGCGGTGGAGCAGCGAGGGAACCATCGACATGACCCATCAATTGATGGCAACGAAGGAGAGGTGTGATCTGGGCATGCCATAATAAGTAGTTGGTGGGGGTGAGTTTGATAGTAAGCTGGGGATTAGCCGGCAGAGAGATGGAGAGGGCTGACAGAGAGGTGGAATCACCGGAGACAGAGGAAGAAGAAACAGAGGAGGAAGAAGAAGAGCCGGTAGCCATTTTTGGCTTGAATTAAGAAGAAGAACAGGGCGAACAAATTGAGAGAAAGAAGGAACAATTGACTCGTTAGAGTTTTAGGGCTCTGATATCATGATAACCCAAGAGTTGGTTTTCCATTAATCAGTAAACATATTTATAATACAAGACAGCAGAGTGCTGCGGCAGAGAAGGAGTGAAATAAGGAACTGCCCATAGTGGGCAACGTTCCATTAACAACAACTGACAGAAACAGAGTAACTTCTGGAACAAGTAGTTCCTCTTCAGA